GTCAAGGACAATGGTAGTGTTAATACTGACGTGAGATCAGGGATGCTGCTTTCTGAGAAGCCAGACTTCAATTCTGTGTATCACAAAATAATAAATTGTGTCACGCCAGCATTTAATGCATGTACACAGTGCATTAACTGTAACTGTAGTACAGTTATTTGTGCTGGAGGAGACTTGAAAATGATTAAAAAATCAATACTTTGCTGTCAGAGAAGCAAGTGTTACGATGCATTTAAGTAGTTAATTGCATAAGCCCCATAAAAGCTTCAAGTTTGGGTAGCAAGAATGCCCTAATTACAGTCCAAGCAACTACCTTTTGTTAATGGTGGACTTTAGGGAATGGTGGTTGCTGCCATCATTGCTTCTAGATATGCAGCTCAGAAATAATGGATGCTCTTCTTTCTTCTCATGTAGGATGCCAATTATGTGCAAATTACTGATGACCACCAGACTGAGAGCTGGTTACGTTAGTGCTTGTTCACCAACGAGGTGATTCCTCTAAGTTGTCTAAAAGCAGTGCTTTCTGGCTTCTCTTGTGTCGTAGGACACTTGGGAAAATCATAATATTTAAATGCCATGCCGGGCAAAGGTGACTCAAAGCTGAAGGGAATAAGCCAGAGGGGCTCTGGCTGACTTCCTGGAGGGCTGAGAGGATCATTACATCCAGTACCTCATCATGGTTCACGAATTAAGAAGCACTGCTTTAAAATGTTCAGTCACAGAATTTTAAGACTGGAAGGGGTCTTAGACACACTTGTGTCTGTCACGTCTTTAACAAAAGAGGTAACTGAGAAACACGGAGACCAGATAACGGATTGACCAACGTTCCATAATGAGGGACTTAAAAAGCCAGTCTACAACTCAATTCTCTCCATTCCAGATCAGTTTCCACTAGACACTTCCACTTCTGAAGGGGATTAGCAAACACAGAAGACAGTGAGAAAATCTGCTGTTTTGTTTTCCCCCAGTTAGAGAACAGATGGTTAAAAGGCAACTGACTTACTCTGGGGCCCCCAAGGAGCAAAATATATCACTGTCTGCACCTCTAGAGAACCCAGACTAAGACGGTTGCTTTTTAACAGTCTATTCTCTTTGCTTGCTAGGTGCCCTTGAGTCTGTTCTGACTCACAGCGATGCCATGTACAACAGAACAAAACACTGCCCAGTCCTTTGCTGTCCTCACAATCGCTGTGTTTGAGCCCATTGTTGCAGCCCATGTGTCAGTCCATCTCATTTAGGGTCTTCCTCTTTTTCACGGACCCTCCATTTTATCAAGCACGAAGTCCTTCTCTGGGGACTTGTCCCTCCCACAAAACATGTCCAAAGTATATGAGTTGAAGTCTCACTGTCCTTCCTTCTAAGGAGCATTCTGGCTGTACTTCTTCAAAGACAGATTGTTTATTTTTCTGGCAGTCCATGGTATATTCAATATTCTTAGTCAACACCATAATTCAAAGGTATCATTTCTTCTTCAGTTTTCCTTATTCATTGTCCAGCTTTTGCATTTGTATGAGGCAGTTGAAAATACTATGGCTTGGGTCAGGCACACCTTAGTCCTTAAAGTTACATCTTTGCTTTTTAACACTTTAAAGAGGTCTTTGCCACAGATTTGCCCAAAGCAATATGTTGTTTATTTTCTTTACTGCTTTCATAGGCGACGATTGTGGATCCAAGTAAAATGAAATCCTTTACAACTTCAGTCTTTTCTCTGTTTTTCATGGTGTTGCTTATTGGTCCAGTTGTGAGGATTTTTGTTTTCTTTATGTTGAGATGTAATGCATACTGAAGGCTGTAGTCTTTAATCTTCATCAGTAAGTGCTTCAAGTCCTCTTCACTTGCAGCAAGCAAGATGTGTCATCTGCATAATGCAGGTTGTTGATGAGCCTTCACCCAATCCTGATGCCACCTTCTTCTTCATATAGTCCAACTTCTCGAATTATTTGCTGAGCATACAAATTGAATAAGTATAGTGAAAAGATACAACCCTGTTACACGCCTTTCCTGATTTTAAACCATGATCTATTCTCTAACTGGGGAAAAAAAAAAAAAAACATGGTAAAGAGAGCGAGAAAGACTGGCTGAGAAGATTGGCCGATGGCATCAGATCACATCATGGAAAGTGATTGTATTATATTACATTATGGAAGAGCAACCAGTTCAGTGCCTGCCACACCACTGAGGATCGTCGCCTAGCCAAGTTCACACGTGACGTGAATCATCACAGCAATGTTGGGTGATCTCTGAGAGTCTGTGTGGAGAATCCTTTCTCTTCTGGAGGCTGACTGGTGAGCAGTTGCGGCGGTGCTTCCTTCCTGTGCCCTATTCCCATTGCCCTTTTGCAGGAGTTCGATCCAGCAGTGTTGGGCACTTTGCATTTCCTTTGACAGTTTGCATTGCTGAGAAAAAGTCACAATAATTTTCTACTGACGAGCACGTCTTTTGTTAGTCTCCTCTCCACATACCCCTGAAACATGGAAACACTGTTCATTCCTGGATTTCTTTTTTCAACATAGACAGGTGGTGATATTTAAGATACTAACACAGCCATGTAGTCTTCATAGACCATAAACACCTCTTTGAAAACAGATGAAGAGGTTGTGATTTTAAAGACCTGTGCGTCAGCAAGTGCTTCTGCTCGTTTAGTCCCCAGTTCTTATTCTATGATGCTCAAAAAGCTATACTACATAAATTTTGCAAGAGTAAATGTATGCATTATGATATACTATTAATCAGATTATGAAGTCATAAATTCTGCACAAAGAGGAGTGTATATTATCAGAGTTTTTTACATAATTCTTATAAATGGAAGATATAGGCTTAAAATTGGATTACAGTAATATTCCAAAAAACCAAGAATATTGTGATTTTATTCTGAGTGAAAACAGACTTTTTATGTTGTAATTCTCTGAAAAGATGGATATTGAAGATCCACCTCATGTTTTACCTTTACAAGAGGATTTTTAAAGTAAATATGGATAGATTTTAAATGTAGGTGAATTGTATCTTTTTTCAGTATGTAATTTGAAAGATGTATTATCGGCCAGTAATAATAGGGCTTGTATTTTTGTAGAAATTTGTTTTGTAAAACCTAAAGCCACTACATATCTGTGAGTTTGTTGTAATGTGGTGGCTTGTGTGTTATTATGATACTGGAAGCTTTGCCCTAGTATTTCAAATAACAGCAGGGTTACCCATGTAGACCAGTTTCAGTGGAGCTTCCAGACTAGGACATAGTTGGAAGAAAGGCCTGGTGATCTATTTCCAAAAATTAGCCAATGAAAACCTATATTGTCCCATATAGTTCTGGAAGATGAGCCCTTCAGGTTAGAAGGCTCTCAAACATACAAAGCTCATGAAGATGGTGCAGGACCAGGCAACGTTTTGTTCTATTATACATAAGGTCTCCATGAGTCAGAGCCAACTGGACAGCAGCAAACAATGACGACAAAACCTAAAGCAGTTACCGACATGGCTGGAAAAAGCAGCTGTCAAGCATTTCACTAACACTTTATACTCATTTCGTAGCTGGGAAAACTGAGGCAAATATAAGTTCAGTGATTTTCTTAAACTGTGTAGAGTTAGAAATTAAACAGTGAAATATCTCCAAAAGTGGATAGTACTTTCCGTGATTTTATGTAGTCTCTTAATTTACTCTTTTGTAATTAATGAAATTTTAGACATCGTATTTGCTTGTGCCTATAATCACTCACTTCAATAGTCTGACATAATTCCTCATTACCCCTCTCAGTGACTGTGTGTGTCTCTGTGTGTGTAACACTTCAGGAGTGCCTATGATTTTTCTTCTCATTTTACTGGTGACCAGTCTATTTTAATTGATTGACAACCTCACTTAATTCCCCCTTCTGGTTTTAGAGGAATGCTGGAGGTAATGGCTCTGCAGGGTGCTCACTGTTTGAAAGAGGCTGGGTTGAGTCCATAACATGAAACTCTACCACACACCAGCTAATTGTCTTTGTCCTTCCTTCCTTCCTTCTTCTCTCTCTCTTTCTTTCCTCCCTCCCTCCCTTCTTCTCTTCCTTCTTGTCTTTTTTTTTAGCAAGAGAATAAATAATATACTCTATTCCCACTCATTCTCTGGAGTCGCCTTCCTAAGAATAGTCTGTTTGGTGCAATAATTCCCCTGTGACTCTAAAATCAGTGCCCTACTGCTCATTAGAGTCCAGACAGTCACCACTAACTCGAGTGGACTCTCACGCTAAAGTGCCCTTATTGATTGTAATCATTTTGCCGAAATAAATAAATAATGGTGTGCACCCACTTTTAACCAGTTGTTGTCGAGTAGATCCAACTCATAGTGACCCCACGTATATAGACTAGAAATGTGCTCCATAGGGTTTTCAAGTCTGTGAACTTTCAGCAGCAAACACCAGGCCTTTCTTCCAAGTGCCTCTGGCTGAGTTCAAACTGACAATCTTTCGGTCAGTACTCAAGTGCTTCACTGTTTGTGCCACCCCGGGACAAACTGTACTCCTGTACCCACTTTTAGGATGTATTTAAAAAAAACAAAAACAAAAGCAAGCTGTTACAATTCCTTTCATTTTATTTGTCTGACTCTTGAGTTTGTAGCTCTGATTAAGAAGCGATCTTGGATTATGCCATCAATGGGGAGAGAACTGAATACTGGGATGGTACAGAGCTTCATCATTGTCCCCATTTGGCTGGGTACTTGGAGGAAAGTGGGGGTATACCAAACTCCAAACAAACTGGACTTTGAGGAAGAGGCTGGTTTTAAAAAATAGTGAAATTCTTCAGTTATTAAGAAGTACAGGAGACTTATTCATACTGCCTCTAAATATTTAGTTAGCATGGCAATCCTATTTTCAACACACCAAATATGTATAATTTGTGATTTTCTGTTTATCCATATCTGTGCTATCGAATAAGGTAGCCATGAACCATGCATGGCTATTTGAATTTAAATCAAAGTAAATTAAATTGAATATTTCATTCCTTACTCTCACAAGACACATTTCAAATGCTCAATAGCACTATGAGGCTAGTGACTACTGTATTAAATGGTGAGGATCTAGAACCATCATCACAGAAAATTCTGTTGGCTATCTCTGGGCTAGATGGTGTTTTTCAAACTAAAGCCCAGGTCCCTGTTTTCCAGAACACTAGGCAATCTTAAATAGAACATAGAAACCATAACACATAAGCTCAACATTTCTCTTTTGTGTTTCTAAGTAGCAACTTTCAGACAATAAAAGATTACGTAATTGGTCCTTCATTGTTTCCCTGAGCTGAGGGTTAAATAATCTTTGATAATAATCCTTCCACAATTCAGCTCACAGCCAAGAATGGCCTGCTGAATTTGTTGTAAAAAGCCTGGAATTCCAAACTCTCAAGAAAAGCTTAGTGGGAGAAGAAATTTCTGGATGGCTTAGCGTTTTATTTTGTTTGGGGTTATTTTGTAGAGGCATCATAGTCTTTAAAGTGAAATCTTTGAGAACCCATATTTAACAAATTTTTGGCAAGAAATACTGAGGGAAATGATGCATATAATTTAAAGATTCATATATACATCTATATATATATGGGTATGTAAAAATATCACATGGATTGAAGTGGCAGAAGAAGAGAATTATTAATTATCTTACTAAGTTCATGAACTTTTTGCTGAATGCCTTCTCTTCTTTACTAAAAGTTAAATAGAATCACAAGTAATTGTTTCTCTTTGGAAAGCGGGCCAAAATATCTAGAAAGTAATAAATTGCAGTTGTTCTGTGCTATTTTAAAGTGAATTACCTTCCATAGTCAAAGGCTATCATTTCTTGTATTTATATCATTTTAATTTATATTTATAGAAACAGGCAATGACAATGTGTTTGTGTAAGTCTGTGTTGACAAAATGTAGATCAAAAGTCCAAAGCCTTAGTTTGGGCCCTTAATAAATAGGCTTGACGATTATGAGATTTTTTCCTTCCTTAGCTTTCAAATCTCAAATCCAGCTGACATACACACACACTTGTTAGTTGCTCTTGGCTTGGACTCATGGTGACCTTGTGTATAGCAGAACCAAGCATTGCCTGGTCCTGCGTTATATGCATAATCGTTGGCGTCTGAGTCCATTGTGGCTATTGTGTCGGTCTATCTCCTTGAGGGTTTTCCTCATTTTCATTGGCCCCCTCTGCTTCCCTAAACATGATGTCCTTTTCTAGCAATTGATCTTTCCCAACGACGTGTCCAAAGTAAGCAGGAAGTAGTCTCACCCTCCTCGCTTCTAAGATACATTCTCAGATCGATTTATTCGTTCTTTTGGCAGTCCACGGTATAGTCAATATTCTTTGCCAACATCACAGTTCAAACGCATCAATTCTTCTTCTGCCTTCCTTTTTCCTCACACGCACTTAGAGTGGGTATGAAGTTTAGACTTTACTGATTAAGTGTGTTTGACATTGCTTTGTTTAAGAGGCACTGAGACCACAAAGTCCATTTTGCAAAAAAAAAATCAAAACAAAACTTCACTTTCAATAACCCAGTTGTTACTCTCATCCCCCTTTCCAACAAGTGTAGGGAAGATTTAATCCTTGTCTTTCCTGGGCTTTCCTGCTTCCAAAGAACTACCAGTGTCCTGGGACTTCAAAGTATACCAAAGCCCCAATGTGTGCAAGGGCACTGGGCACTTACTGTCCCAACACTGAGATCACTGTGGGTGGTGTGGTCCCTTCAGACGCAGGGATACTCTGCGCTACTGCAGGGCCCAAGAAGCTGCATAGAGGCCATTTTTCCTGCTCCAGAGTTTGTAAAGTGATGAGCTCATAGGCTTATTTCATCACGCAGGTGATTTGTTTGACCTTCAGAATCAGAACGTTGTTCTGTTTTGTTTAATTTAAATCAGCTGTTACACTCTAAAAATCAGAAAATTTCACTTAAAATGACTTTTTTTTTAAGTAAACTGAAAGATTTGGCAATCATGGGTCATCATTCTTGCTTCACTCACTGGCTGGAAGACATTGGTGACAATTTACGCCACCCAGTTCTTCTCAGACTACACGCTCCGTCTTGTCTCCACAACTACCCCATTTCAATCATTCCATTCCCCTGGGAATTGCACTCCAGAGCTGATGCCGCTTTAAGAAAGGGGCTCTGCCTCTGTGATCAGTGTTAGTCTCTGGCTGCAGCTTTCCCCTAGGGATCCTGCATCTCCTGGGCGAGGGAGCTCCCACTCAGCCAAAGGGGATTCTCCAGAGAGGGGGGAAGCCAGGAGCCATTAGAGGCCAACAAGCCCAACAGCTGGGGTGTGGGGGTAACTGATTGGTAAAAAGAACCTATGTGGGGCAT